CTATTCGGCACGACAATATATATATATAATTATATTAAATATATATATATATTTAAAATTAATAATATATATATATAATAGTATAATAATAATTATAAATTCCAGGGTGTGGGGGTGAGGAGGATTCTAGGAAGCCCATATTTTCACGATATTGAAAGGGGGGAAAAAGCCTGTTCCATTCTGCACATAGATTTCTACATTAAATATCCACTAAAGTGCAATAGATTTCCCCAATTTCAATTTCGTATTATTTGAAAATATTGCAAAGACCAAAATTTTTCCTCAAGAACCCCCAGTGGAAAATGGATGGGAAGCGACAAATTTAAACCAGTTCGTGCAGAAAAAAGTTTGCTGACAAAAACATACTTGCCTAATTGTTTCATTGCTACTACTACTGATACTATCTACACTGATACAACACTACTGATACTACTACTACTATGATACTATACTACTGATTTACTTTTTGATATTTACTACTACGTAAAACTTAATCGATACACAACTATGATCAACTACTAAGAAAAACCTACTGTACTATTACTCTAAATGGGGGGGAGCCCTTTTCAGAACCCATTTCAAAGTCACACGTTTTTTGAAAATTTTGTTGGTGTTTTCCAAAAACCCAAAAAAACAGTTTAAACACACAGAAACATAACGCGGGAATTGTACACCAGAAATGATATTTAATGCTAAATAAATTTACCTGACCAATTTAAAATTTTAATAGGCTTAGTCAAATTTAAGTTAGGTTCTTTATAAAAGGTTAAGCGGGGTCTCTATGTTAATTTCGCTGAGGAATTTAGTTTTTGTTGACTTTTTTAAATGATATAAACACGTCAAACCTCGAAAATTTTTTAGATTTTAAAAGGCGGTTCTACTGAGAAATTTTATGTTGGGCATAACATGTATTTTTTTTTTTTAACAACCGGCCGTCTCACACCCAGGCAGGGTGACCCGAAAAAAAAAAAAACCCATAGTCACGTTTAGCAAAAGAGCGCGCATCACCTCCGGGAGAGTTCGGCAAAATTACGTTTCCGGAATCCCTTCAAAATATTAGCTGCTTACACTCCAACAGCATTTCCAGATAAAAATCACTTACCCCGCACTTACTCCTATCTAATACCTCAAAAAACCCGTTGGATGTCCAAACCCCTCACCTTAACCTGTTTACCCTCCCCTCCTACTTTTCCCAGGACGACCCTTTCCTCCTTCCCTTTCCGATTTATACACCCATTTACTTCGTAAAAGAAACCCTTATTTTTTCATATTTTTTTGCGTTTTGGTCATTCCACCATATTGACTTTTGGGTGGATAAAACCCCGAATATATATTACTTGGGGGTAGCTCAGTGGTAAAGTACTGTGGACTTTATACAAGTTGCAGGTTTTGAGTCCTGCTGTGACGTAGAGACAATGTTTGTAAATAATTTCTCCTGTTGCGAAAGTTAAGCACATTATATATATTAATTATATATTTATATATAATATATATATATATATATTATAATATATTTTTAAAATAATAAAAAATAATATATAAAAATAATATAGTGGGTGAGAGTTATCAAAAAATTTTGTTTAAATAAGAAAAAGTTTTTTGGGGTGAAATAATAAGTGGGAAACCCAGGAAAGAAGGATTTGATAGTTAAAAAAGGAAGGAGAGTTTTTAAATGGAGGTTAAGGTAAAAAGGAAAATGGAAGGAATATTTTAAGGAATTCTAAATGCGATGAAGATTTTAGAAGCTTTATTTGGTAAAGGGCAAAAGGAGGAATAACATCTTGTAGGGTGAGGAAGAGCCCGTTTGAGTGTGGGGGGAATTCGGAGGCAGTAGGGAAAAAAGAAAAGGGGGTAAGGCAGCTGGGATTTATGGGATAAAGATAAAAAGTTAAAAGAAGGGAGGATATAGTTTTGGAGTGCTTGGTGCTTTTTTTTAAAAAATGTAGGGAAGAGGGTAAGGTACCTACGGGTTGGCAGAGAGCATGCATAGTTCCTTTGTATAAAGGCAAAGGGGACAAAAGAAAGTGCAAAAATTATAGGGGAGTAAGTCTGTTGAGTATACCTGGTAAAGTGAAGGGTAAAATTATTACTGAAAGAATTAAGAATAAGACGGAGAGTAGGACAGCAGATGAACAGGGGCTTTAGGAAAGATAGGGGTTGTGTAGACCAAGTGTTTACAGTGAAACATATAGGTGAACAGTATATAGATAAGGGTTAAAAGGATTTTTCGGCATTTATGGATTAGGAAAAGGCGTATGACAGGGTGGATATGGGGGCAATGTGGCAGATGTTGCAAATGTACGGAATAGGAGGTAGGTTACTGAAAGCAGTGAAGAGCTTTTACGAGGATAGTGAGGCTCAAGTTAGAGTATGTAGGAGAGAGGGAGATTATTTCACAGAAAAAAGTAGGCCTTAGACAAGGATGTGTGATGTCACCGTGGATGTTCAATATAGTTACAGCTGGGGTTGTAAGAGAAATGAATGCTCGGGTGTTGGCAAGAGGTGCGGACTTAAAAGATAAAGTATCAAACACAAAGTGGGAGTTGTCACAGTTGCTCTTTGCTGATGACACTGTGCTTTTGGGAGATTCTGAAGAGAAGTTGCAGAGTTTGGTGGACGAGTTTGGTAGGGTGTGTAACAGAAGAAAATAGAAGTCAATATGGAAAGAATAAGGAAATGAGGATAAAATATTAGGTAACAAAAGACGGGTATCGATTGGAGAAAGAGAGATGAGGAGGTATGAAGTATTCAGATATTTAGGGGTGGGACGTGTCAGCAGATTGTGTCTATGAAGGATGAGTGATTTATGAAATGGAAAAAGGGAGTTGGTACAAATTAGGAGTCTGTGGGGACAAAGAACTTTGTCCAGGAAGCAACGAGTTGAATGTATATACATGTATTTGGGGTGAAGCATGGGTGGTGAATGTTGCAACAAGGAGAAGGCTGGAGGCAGTGGAGATGTCATGTCTGAGGGCAATGTGTGGTGTGAATATAATGCAGAAAATTCGTAGTTTGAAAATTAGGAGAAGGTGCGGGGTTACCAAAACTATTTTTCCAGAGGGCTGAGGAGGGGTTGTTGAGGTGGTTTGGACATGTAGAGAGGATGGAACGAAAAAAGAAGACTTCGAGAGTGTTTTAAATCTGTACTGGATGAAAGGTGGGGTACGAGTCGACCTAGGAATGATGGAGGGAGGGGGTTAAAGGAGGTTTTGTATGAGAGGGGCTTAAACTTCTAGAAAGCAGGGCATGACCCATGTTAGATAGGAGATAATATAGACAAATGGTTTTAGGGTTTGGGACGTGCTGTGGAGTGTGAGCAAAGTAACATGAAGGAATTCGGAGAAACCAGTAGCTGGACTTGTTTCCCTGGAGGTGGGAAGTACAGTGACTGCACTCTTAAGGAGTGAATGACGGTGAAAGTTTTCTTTTTCGGGCCACCCTGCCTTGGTGGGAGACGGCCGTCGTGTAAATAAAAAAGTAATTGTTTAAATAAACATTTAAAGGTTATTAAAGTATCATGTACAGCAGTAAAGAAAAAACAAATTAAAGTAAGTATGCGACGGCGCCCACACAACAGTTTGAGCTTCAAGGCCCCAAAATTAAGGTCCGCCTTTGCCCTTTAAAAACCTAATCTAGCCTATTTCAACCTAACCTAATTTGGATATAACATCAGTTGAAAATTTTTTTATGCAGCGCCCAATAAACTGATGTCGAGAAATGTGTAAAGAAATTAGCCTTTTTAAAAGAGGATCTAATGTTATTCACTCCATGAGGAAGCATAAAGAAATTCTTCCCTTGTAAGTCATGTGTGTCGTAAGAGGAGACTAAAATGCCGGGAGAAAGGGGGCTAGTAACCTCTTCTCCTGTATACTTTACTAAATTTAAAAGAAAACTTTCGTTTTGCTTTTTAGATCAGTTTGCCTCGGTGGGATCTCCCGGCTCGCTGGAAAAATATATACATATTGCCTCTATGTCTATAGAAGGACTTGAACCTGCAAACTCTGTATCAGAGTCTACAGTACTTTACCACGGAGCCAGACCTCAGGGAAGTATGGCGCCTAGCCGAAGCTAGCGATTTTTCCCCATACCCTGGCACCAGGCTTGTTTACAAAGTTATTTCACTGTGGATTTGATACAGAGTTTGCAGGTTCGAGTCCTGGGTGTGGACGTAGAGACAAAATAATATTTTTTCTCCTGTTTGGCATATTTTATAAATATATATATATATATAATATAATATATATATATATATATATATATATATATATATATATATATATATATATATATATATATATATATATTTATACATAATATATCATATATATGTATGTATGTATGTCGTGCCGAATAGGCAGAAAATTGCGATTTTGGCTTAAATAGCAAACGATCATCTTGCCATATAAACAAGTGAAAAATTTTTTATGCAATAATTTCGCCAAAATCATTCTGAACCTAAAGAAAAAAATATATTTCACTGTGTTTGTTTAGTATTAAATTACTGTAAACAAATCTAAAATATATTTAGTTGGGTTAGGCTAAAATAAATTGTTCTTGTTATAATAAGGTTAGGAAAGTTTTCTAAGATTCTTTTGGTGCAAAATTTAAATTTTTTTTTACATTAACAATTAATGAAAAATATATCTTTAAACGTATAAGAGAAAATTCAGAAAGACTTAATTTTAAATGAGTTCTTGCTAATTGACCGTTTTACATATTCGGCACGACATAATTATATATATATAAAATATAAAATATAATATATATATTATTATAAAATATATATAATATATATATATATATTTTATATACACACACACAACACAACAATCGCAAACAGGCGATCTTAAAAATACAAGATTAAACACTCTCCCAATATAAACCTCTGTATGGTGAGTATTCTCATAACTAAAGGTGATATTTTGATAAGTTCGAGAAAACAAGGGATGGGTAAGGGTGACAGTGGTCAGCTGAGGAAGTGATACTTGATGTTAACTCACCCAGCTGAGTGATGAGTGTGCTGAGGAGATCGTCAAGATGCCAATCATCCCACTCCCTCACGCTCTCCGCTACGATGCTCAGCTTCCGTCTGCCGGGAAACCCACGTCATCTTAATTAGCTTGTATATGACGCCGGGTTCTAATTAATATTGATCATGTGCAGCATGTTAGCAAAGATGGATCGCTTACCTAGTAATTATGCAATGAATAATTACTTTACCAAAGTCAAAAACAAGAAGTTACTTTACACAATAAGAAATATCTAGTAATAAAAAATTATTATAATTTGGAATTGAGTCTCACAGTAGCAATAAATAAAGATAAGTTAGGTGACCCATAAAGTAATGTATTCGATTTAAATTAGTGACGCATATTAACCAGGACAGGTAAGATTGGTGACCTGTAAGAGTTATGTACACAGGTTGATTGGTGACTCATTAACAGTGCATGGAGGTAATTTTAGCTATCCATATACATAGAGTGGTGACTCATATAGTATAACTATATATACTGGTAACACACAGCTATGAATATACAGGAACAATTGGTGATTCATATTAAATATGTATATTAGCCGTGTGTAGTGTGTGTTGATAAAATACCTACTATGGTATACAGGTAAGGACTGGTGACCATGTTAATCTATGTATACACTAAGAGTGGGGTGATCCATTTATTATGCATATAGTGTAAAATTTGATTAACACAAATGAAGGAAAGGTTAGTGAATCATATTACGTTATGCGGTATGTGGTGATCCAAGCAATGTACACCCACATAAAAACTGGTGGTCATATTTTGAATGAATTTCCTTTAAATAATTCTTGCTCATTGTAATAGCTGCATAATGAACAAAGTTAAAATAATGGCTAATTATACATCAAGATGAAAGTTACGTAGATAAAGTACAAATAAAAATTTGCGAAACTAATAATTTTGAGTAGAACTTAAAAAAAAATGTTGCACTTTTGTGTGGCAATGCGCCTGGTTATGCCACGGGGGCGTGACCCCCGAAAAAACCTCCTAGGTATTCCACCCAGGAGAGAGAAGTCCCTATTTCATCTTTCATTAGAGCAATAACGAATTCCCCTGAGTGATAATCTTTCAACTTCCTCACAGAAAAAACAATTACCCACCGATACACGATTCCAAGAAAAACTGCAGGTCTCTTATTTTTGGCAAACAAAATACTGATTAAGCTTTATTTTGGCAAACAAAAATATGATTAAGCAGTAGAGTATAAATTCCAAATTCTCTTTTGTTATACATGTTAGGTAGAGTGGCCAGCGAAGTAGGAAAATTGTCATATGAGAATGCAGTGCGTGGCCTGGTGCTAAAATGTCTCGCTTACTCGGTGAGGGTCGGTTTCGATCCCGACGATGGAGTGGAAATATCGGGCGTGTTGCCCTACACCGGTTTCTATGTTCACCCATTAGTAAAATGGGCCTGGAGTGTTTAGTGGACTGGTGTGGGTCGATCCTGGGACAATCTGACATGATTTGGGGAAATGCTCAGCATAACAAGCGGCTTTCTATATTGTAGTATGTCACTGATGTCGACTAGCGTCTGTATACCTTTTACATGTACTGGCGTTTACTTATATTGTAATGGTATAACTTATACATGTACTGGTATACCTTACTACATGTACTGTATTACTTATTCATGTACTGGTATACCTTATACATGTACTGGAATACCTTATACATGTAATGGTATTCCTTTAATGTTACTGGTATACCGTATACATTGTAATGGTCTTACCTTGTACATGGACTGGTATACTTGTACAATGTACTGGTATACCTATGTACATGTAATGGTATACCTTGTACATGTACTGGTATACCTTGTACTGTACTGGTATACCTTATACATGTACTGATATACCTTTTACATGTTACTGGTATACCTTTATTCATGTTACTGGTATACCTTATATACATGTACTGGTTTACCTTGTAAATATGTACTGGTATACCTTATACATGTACTGGTATACATTTTACATGTAATGGTATACCAAATACATGTACTTTGGTATAATTGATACATGTATGGTATACCTTGTAATGTACTGGTATACCTTGTACATGTATACATTGTACATGTTACTGGTATACTTAGACATGTCCTTGATTACCTTGTACATGTACTGTGTATCCTGGGTACTTGTAATGGTATACATTGTACATGTACTGGTATTACCTTATACATGTACTGATATATCTTGTACATGTACTGGGGCTACTTGTACATGTAATGGTATACTTGTACATGTACTTGGTATACTTGTACTTGTACTGGTATATCTTTGGACATGTACTGGTATATCTGTATATGTTATGGTATACCTTGATACATGTTACCTGGTATACACTTGTACATGTACTGGTCATACTTTTAACATGTACTGGTATACCTTGTAATGTACTGGTATATTATACTTTACTGGTTACCTTGGTTCATGTTACCTTGTACATGTTACTGGATATACCTATTAATGAGTGGTATACTTATGCTGTACTGGTAACCTTGTACTTGTATGGATTACCTTATACATGTACTGGTTACCTTGTACATGTTCTGTATTACCTTGTACATGTTACTGGTAGACTTGTAACCACATGTTACTGGTTATACCATATACATGTACTGGTATACCTTGTTCATGTACTGGTATTCTTGGACATGTACTGGTATTACTTGTACCAGGTATTTCCTTGTACATGTATTCCTTGATACATGTCCTGATATACCTTGATACTTGTATGGTATTATACCTTGTCACATGTAACTGGTATACCTCTGTACACTGTACTGGTATACCTTATACATGTACTGATATATTTGTACATGTACTGGTATAATTGTACATGTACTGGTATACTTGTACGTGTACTGGTATACATTGTCATGTACTGGTATATCTTGTACATGTTATGGATATCTTGTATAATGTACTGGTTTATCCGTGTACATGTAATGGTATACCTTGTACATGTACTGGTATCCTTATAATGTACTGGGTATACCTTGTACATGTATATGGTATTACCTTATACATGTACTGGTATACCGTGGTAATGTATACCTTGTTATATGTAATGGTATACCTTATAACTTGTAGTGGTATCAACTATATACATGTAATGGTATACTTGTACATGTACTGGTTTTCTTATACATTGTACTGGTATCCTTGTACAGTACTGGTAACCTTGTACATGTACTGGTATACCTTGTACATGTACTGGTATACCTTGCTACATGTTTAACTTGTACATGTATGGTATACCTTATACATGTCTGATATACCTTGTACATGTACTGGTATACCTTGAACATTTACTGGTATACTTGTACATGTACTGGTATTACCTTATACAGTACTTCGGTATATTTGTACATGTATGGTATTCTTAGTACCATGTATGGTATATCGTGTAAATGTACTGTATTCCTTGTACATGTACGGGTATACCCTTGTACAATGTATACCTTGTAATGTACTGGCATCACCTTATTACATGTACTAGGTATACACTTATACATGTACTGGTATACCTTGTACATGTATTGGTATTATCTTATACATGTACTGGTATACCTTGTACATGTACTGGTATTCCTTGTACATGTACTGGTATACCTTGTACATGTACTGGTATACCTTATACATGTAATGGTATACCTTGTTCATGTATGGTATACCTTCTACATGTTACTGGTATACCTTATTCATGTTACTGGTATACCGTGTACATGTACTGGTTTATACATTATTACATGTACTGGTATACCTTGTAATTACTGGATTCTAGAACATGTACTGGTTATACCTTGTACATGTATACGTGTAAATGTACTGGTATACCTTATAAATGTTGTGGTATACCTTATTACATGTATGGTATTACTTGCTACATGTAATGGTATACCTTATTATTGGACTGGTATACCTTGTACATGTATGGTATACCTTGTACATGTACTGGGTATACCTTGTACAGTACTGGTTTACCTTGTACATTGTATACCTTGTACATGTCACTGGTATACTCTTACATGTCCTGATATACATCGTTGTACAATGTACTGTATACCTTGTACATGTACTAGTATACCTTGTCCATGTACTGGTATCCCTTATACAGGTACTGGTATATCTTGTACATGTAATGGTTACTTTTGGACATGTACTGGTATACCTTGTACTTGTACTGGTATACTTGTACATGTACTGGTATACCTTGTACATGTATTTCACTTGTACATGTACGTGGTTTACCTTATACTTGTACTTGGTATACTTATTCATGTACTGGTATTCCTTGTACAGGTATTGGTATATCTTATACATGTACTGGTATACCTTGATACAGGTACTGGTATACCTTTTCATGTACTGGTTACATGTACATGTATGGTATACCTTATACATGTAACTGGTATTACCTTGTACATGTTACTTGGTATACCTTATACTTGTACTGGTTATACCTTATACAATGTACTGGTATACCTTGGTACATGTATGGTTACCCTTATACATGTACTGGTTACCTAGGTCATGTACTGGTATACCTTTTACATGTACTGGTTATACCTTGTTAATGTCCTGGTATACCTTATACATGTCTGGTATAACTTGTACATGTACTGAGTATTCCTTGTACATGTACTGGTATACCTTTGTAATGTTTACCTCTGGTACATGTACTGGTATACCTATAACATGTCCTGATATACTTGTTTCATGTACTGGTATACCTTGGAAATGTACTGTATTACCTGGTCATGTACTGGTATTCCTTATAATGTACTGGTATATCTTGCTACATGTATGTATACCTTGTACATCGTACTGGTATACCCTTGTACTTGTACTGGTATACCTTGTACATGTATGGTATACCTGGATACATGTTACTGGTATACCTGTACATGTATACTGGTACATGTACTGGTTATTCCTTGATGTTCTGGTATACCTTATACAATGTACTGGTATACCTTGTAATGTATGTATACCTTAGAATGATAATGGTAACATTGTTCATGTATACCTTGTACTGTTATGGTATTA